TAAAAAATAAATCAGAGCTAAAAAAGTGCAAAAACGCAGGCAAATTTGCCTGCGTTCTACTACAATCTAAGGGATAGGAATATCTTTACAAGTTGATTTAAATTCTACGTTTGTTGTATTGAATTCTAATATATTTTCTGAAAAAATCTTTTAGCTTTTAATAATAGTATGTGTGTTGTTTGTTTATTTGCTGTTTTTTCGTTAATTCTAAAAATAGTAATGTGATCTGCTGTTTATTTATTTGTTTATTTTTCTGATTTTACGTGTTTGTTGTTTTTTGTTGTTTATGCATTTTAAGATTAGATTTTTAGAGTTTAGGCAGATTTCTTTAAATTTTCAAAAATTTTCTAAAAATTTCTAAAAAATTGTTGTTGCTAAACTAAAGGTCTTGAGTAAAAGCCTATCCTAATAAACTACAGGTTATTTTAAATACTCTTTCGTTTCTCTTAGTATAAGATACCTTGTTTCTTATACTAGATTTAAAAATAATTGTTGATTTTGGTTTTGATCAATTAAAAATTGCAAATCAGCAGAAAAAGTTATGTTTTTTCTTTTTTAATTTCTTCTTTATTTATATTTATAATATAATTTATCAATAATGGTTTGTTTTTTTTTTTTTAAAAATTTTTATAACTAGCCTTTTTGGGACTACGGTTTTTATTCAAGTTTATAGGTAAGGGGCTCGCTTATGGAACCCCGGTACATTTACATGCAGATCTAGCTTGTATCACCAGCACATCTCCACCACAATTACCTGTCGTAAGAAGTTCTGGATGCTTTCCCGATACTTTTAGGACTAATTTATTCAAGGTGTTGTTAGCTAGAGCTTTTCATACCCACAATCTGGCTAACCTAAACTTCGATAACTTACGCCGAGTCCGAGGACAAGCACTTGCGAGCTGAAGCCGCTACTGTTACCTACTTCTGCCATTGTAGAGTTCACTCAGACCCCAGCACACACTTTACAGATAATCACCGCCATTCCTAATCACTAACTGCGCCCCAAACTCCCAATTCAGATGGCTCGGAAGGGACCAGTGGGTGTCCCCTGGTATTCCGATTGAATCCTTTTTCCTCGTATTACACACAGCCTGGTTGGTATTGGTGTTTGCCAAACACCCGGTCCTCGTCCGGTTTGTCATTAGTGTCCGATTGCTAATGATGATCCTTTACATAGTACCGTCAAAAATCTGTGCTACCTCTCTACTCGGGACTTGCCAAGTGCCTTCTGTGTGCACTGATTTCCTAGATTTACATGGTGCATCACTCATTTCATGCGATTTATACATAACACTACTGTTCCGCAATCCTCTCAGTACAAGCTGGTACGACCAAGGTTATAGGTGCCGACCCATCAAATTACACACAGTTTACCAGAACACATTTCTTAAATTCGAATTTCATCACCAGTGGGATTCGAACTCTTGACCTGCCACTTGGGGGTGTGACAACTTACCAACTACACTAAGTCACCACACCCTCTCAATAATGATTTGTTTTTTGTTATTTTTGTTTATACTACCTATTGTTTGATAATATCTTCTTGTAAAAACTCTTTTACTTTTTAAATGTATTCTGTATCTGATTATACAGTAGCATATTAAATAATATAATTCTTTCTCTTATTGAAAAATTTTTTATTAGTTGCTTTATATTGTTTGATTTTGTTAAATTAATTGTATATAGAATATCTATTAACTCTTTATTATTTAAGTATTTAAGTACTTTATTTGCTGTTCTATATACAAATTCAAGAAGTTTGCTAAAAACTAATATTTCTTTATTAAGCTCTATTTTTTCTAAAACCTTCTGTTTTCTATTATATATTTGTTTATTTTGTATATATGTATTCTTTTTATTGCTTATTACAATTAATACATATCAATGTTTTTCTAAAAAGAATTATGCATTTGTTTGTTTGTTTGTTGTTGTGGTCTCTCCTTAGTTATGTGTCTTTTTGTCCAAATTTTCAGGGTTAGAGATAACTACTTACTTTTTTAAAATTTTTTGCAAATTTTTTATAAAGGTCTTTATTTTGCTATCAGTTTATTTTTACTCTAAAGTAAACTATATTGTCTTGATGTGCTAAACCTTTTTCTTTAATATGTCAAAATATGTTTTCTATATCATTGGTAAAGTTATCCTCATATTTTGACTTTGTCATTTTTGGAATTGAAGATCATAAAAATTAGAATAATTAAAAAAATTAGTTTTTTTAAATTTGAATACGTATTTAAAACTTTTGTTTAAAATATATAACATATAACCTATACTGTATTAGGAATATCTGGGGTTCTAAATTTGGAAAGGTTTTTGAAAATAAAAAAATTTACTTCAAACATCTTGTATTGACTTATTAGTTATATAGTATTTATAGATATAAAATACTATAAATGTGTTATACGTAGTAAAAGTCAAAAAATAAGCTAATCTGTAAGTGAAAATAACATGAGGCTTAAAGTTTATATGCAGTAAATTTGTAATAATTTTTATTATTATTTATATAGTATATAGTATATATATAGTTTATATAACATACTCCCTGGCTGCTATAGTATACTATATTTAACATTTTTATAAATTTAACACTAATTTTACGTATCGTAATTCAATACGAATGTAGTATTTTGGGCAAGTTGTCAATATGTACGTACGTACGTAGTCAATATGTAAAGTATATGTCGTGCATCAGATTAAAATATAATGCGAAGTTTTATTAGGGTTAGGGTCTTAAAAATTATAGCTTCAAAAAAGCTATATCAAAAAGCGAGATACAATTTAAACTAAACATATTATGTTTTTAACAATATACAAGATTTTATACATAGTATTCATTTTATAATCAAAAATTCAATATTGTTAAATGGTCGCAGCTTAGTTTGTAAAACTGATAAATCGATCCATTTTAAGCATTAACTACAAGAATAAAAAAACGTACGTACGTAGCCAAATTTCGATTACTATAATGCTTTGGAAATAGATAGTCTTATTGGGAGACAATTTAAATGCTAGTACAATTTTAATATTTCAGAGAAATTTTCGAGAATACAAACTTATGTAACTTAGGAGCTATGTCTTCAATGAACTTCTTTTCCCAGAAGAGATAAAAAAGTAGATAGACAAAAGTAGATATTATTATAGTAACAGATAAAATACGCCAATACCGATAAGTATAATAAGTCTAAACATTTTAAATGAGTAAATGATTTTTTTTAAAATGGGTGAATGATTAATGATTAATTGTTCGTTAGTACATATATATAAGGATATTATTAGGATAGGATAGCATTAGGACGGCAATTTCCAGGTTAGTCACCTAAAAATTTCTCATAAAATAAAAATAAAAATATATATAAAATATAAAATAAAATAACAGAAAATAAAATAAAATAAAAATAAAAAGTGTAACAACGATAAAGGGGCGATTGGTTTCGTGTCTCGGACCACATAAAGATAAACGATAATACAGTATAACGATAATATCGCACATTACTACGTTTAAACCGCATGTGACCTGATTTGTATAAAGTTTAATTAAGTATATAGGTGTAAATAAATAATAGATCGGTTATTTTTAGAGTTAAGAACGAACTTTAAAACACGACATGAAGACAAGAGTTTATAAGCGATGTGTTGTTGAAAAAAAAAAAGTAATGCAATTCAAGCAGCCGGAAGGGAATAAACAGAATAGTGTGAATACATTATACGTATGTATGCGGTATTATTTAGTATATATTATTTATTTGGACGATTTTGTTAATAATAATGGTATTGTGCAGAAATTAAACGTTTACTCACATTCATGACGCACGTACGTACATAAGTACGTTCTAATTTTGGCGAATCTAGAAAAGAGCCCAATCAAGAGTCAACAGTTAATGATGAAAAAACTCGTCTTGTCTTGGACCAAAGTCGTCGACAGTGTATAATATGCACATCATTACGAATAATTTGAATAATTTGAATAATTTATACACCAATTTTAAGTGCCAAGTTATATGCCAAGTATGAGATTTTACTTAATGTTGTAATACAAACATTTACGATATCGATACTCCTCGCCATATCACTTTATAAAACCCAACTATTTGACGTTTTAAAAAAGTTGATCATTCCTTAATCAAGCCTATCTACTCTTTGTGGACAACAAAGTCAACATTAAATTGAATATTTTTGAATATTTCGTACGTACGTACGTGCTTCTGTATTTAATATATATATTCTTAGTGCTTTATTATAGACTGTGAAATTACCCTGTTTCAACGCTTTCTAATTAATCTTTCATTAATCTTTCATTAATCTTTCATGGCATCATTATTACCATCTGAATGTCTTTCACATATATTAGAAAATCTTTCAAACGACAGAGCGTCTTTACGTAGTTGTCTTCTTGTAAATCGTCTTTGGTGTTTAAATACAGTAACAGTTCTCTGGAGTCAACCATTCCATTTAGTCAACGTTTGTCCTTCACCAAATACCTCTTCGAATACTTGTACTAGAACTCAAAAAAAACGTTTACTTCAATGTTCAAGTTTACTCAACATTTATTTGTCATTCTTACCTAAAGAAGAAAAATTAACTCTTACTAATAATAAAATAAAATTACAGCAATGGAATACTGGTTTTACTTTTAATTATGTGGAATTCTTACGTTATTTAGATCTCGAAGAATTATTCATTACTGTTAGAAGTTGGAAACAATGCTTATCAAAGAGTCAATTAATTAGTAATAATGATGTTAATTCTCAAAAATTAAAAAGATTTAGTTCAAAAAAAAGCTTGGTTAATTCTATAAAATCTTTAAAAAATGTTATATTACGAAAAAAGCATTCAACTTTTAGTGTCAGCAAGGCCGTTTTTCCTGTATCCGTGGATCGTGTGGTTTCTTATTCTTTAGCGAAATTAATCATGAACAATTCTAAAAAGTTAATTCTTCTTTCAATTGATCCAACTATCGGTGATTCCATTAAGAATTATCGATGTAATTGCATGGATCCTATCTTTAATATTGATAATTATGGGCATCAAATATTTAAACAAAATGTTCCCGAAGAACATCTATTGATAGCAACTTATCCTGGTGCAAATGAATGTCTATCTTCCCTCACAGAATTTATTTGTACTACTCGTGGAACAAAATGGAGGCTTTTTCACGCTATGTCATCGATTTGTAAACAACTTAAAATGATCTCTGTTGACATGGGAGGCTATGATTCTTGGTCAAATGCAGGTCTTCAAACTTACACTGAACCCCAAATGCAAGAATTAGAATGGGAAGCAAAAAATCTTGCCACTTTAATTCGATCTCAAAGTTCTTTAAAGGAATTCTTATTGTCACGTGGTGAAATCGGATTAAATACTATTTTGGATGCGTTGACGAGTCAAGTTATATCATTAAAATATATTGAATTTATCAATATTGACACTAAACTTTCTCTATGGGGTTCTCTTGAAAGATTAAATGAGTTTAACGGATTAAAAACCTTGAAATTCATATCTTGTAGACTTAATGACATCCTAACGAAACCTTTAGTTTCAAATCCTATTCCGCTTTTTCGATTAACGACAATTGAAATGAGTGATTCCACATCATCTCCGGAAATAGTTTTAAAGTTAATTAAAGATTCTGGTTCTTCTCTTAAATCCCTAATCTTAGGGGACCATCATAATAAAGAAGGTTCAGATTCTGCATGTAACATTATTGAAACAACTGCAAAATACTGTCCGAATATCGTAAATTTCTCTTCTATTGTTTCAGTTAGTGAAATTTCACAACTTTTAACTCTCTTCACATTTTGTCCACAACTCGAATCTGTAACTTTAAGAGGACCTGAGGATGAAACTGATCATGTAATAGAAGATATAAATTGGTTATTTGAACAAATGGGTGAGCTACAACTTTTAAGAAAACTTCGAAATTTGGCAATTCAAGCTCCTTGGTCGTTTCTTCCCCATTCTTTGAATGAATTTCTTAAGGATTCAAGTCCACCATTAAGGTCTTTGGAATTTTCTTGTTCTCATTGCTTTTCTGATGGTCATCTAGAAGTAATTTTGAGATGTTTGGGAAAGAATTTGAAGAGATTAAAGTTGGCAACTTGCATTGAAATGGATGATGAACTGATTGTTGAGGCTTTAGCAACTATCGAAGATTTCGAATTTAAAACATTTATATCGTCTCATGGCTCTTGCCATTTTAATAATATATACATACATGAATTAGTTTACTAATACATGAATTTTGTGACAAGATCTGTTTTTTGACATAAAGTACTCACGTATACTACATGTATAATAGGAGTCAACATTTTCAAAAAATGCACCTATATACTTCTATATAGTTGGATATTTATTCTACCGCTACCTATATGTTACCATATTGTATTTTAATTACGACACGTTAAATAATTGTATTCTATTAAGTACTCGTTATTTTTTGTAATTTTATGCCTAATTGCATATTATACTCTAAAAAAATTTAATTTTTAAATTATTAACACAAAATTGGTTTTTATAGTTTAAATTTATACTTAATATATGAAACGATACTGAATTTTTATTATAACTGCGTTGCGAGATTTGTAACGAAAATGTTCTATAAAAGAAATCTGTCAAGCTCGGGTACAGTCAGCCCTGGTTATAATTACATCCTGGGTTAAAAAAAACAGATGTTTATAATAAGGATGTGCTTATAGAAAGGTTAGAATAATATATTTTAATATGTTGGGATCTAATAAAAATATAAATTTTGTAAATTAGATCCCAATTTTAATAGATAGTAAAAATCGATACAACATAAAATCTTAAAAAGCAAGTAAACTAGGAAATCAGGATCTGATAAAAGTCCGAAGCAAAAGTCTAATATTAAAAAATTAACTTAGTAATTATCGATTACGATTACTATGTATATATCGTATCTAATTCTTAAAATATTTAATAAATATACATACATATTAAATATTTAAATTTGGCCTGCTCTATACCCCGAACTATACTGATTTGGTTATGCTTAAAACGCTGATCTTCGTAACTCCTGCTTTAATTGAATGAAATGCGTAATAAGTTTATGACGTCTATCTTTTATATTTGGAGCTTAAAGGTCATTAATTATTGGGAAATATAGTTACACAGTATCTCAATCGAGCCCTGTGTCATCAGATGTTGTGTAACGTGAACATCAATTTTTATTGGAGCGAGCCACCTAACATTGCATAGATGTGCATTTAAATTTACTAAATCAAAAAAAACTTTTTTCGGTTCACTTCTGAAAAATACACAAATTAAGATTTATTACAGAACTTTTTTTTTATTTTTTTTTCTTCTAATGAAACAAGGACCTTGGGGTTTAGAATGCATGAACATATTACTTTAGATATAGGCAAACAACCAAACAACAAGAAGACTAGACTTCTTCCCAAAAACGAAAAAAATTTTAACTTTATCAAAAGTAATGAAAACAAAGAAAACAACAAAAAAAACAACGAGCCAAATATAGACAACAACAACAATATTCTTGGGCCAGATACAACAGAGTTGGTCAATACAGATAACAATAAATCTAGTACAAGTTGGGCCAGTTAGGCAGAAGCAGAGGAAATAAGTAGAAAACAAAAGAGCGAAGACGAAACTGCTCTTAGTCAACAGGAAACATATACTGTTTTTTTAAACAAAACAAATCACGTTATAGATATAAATAAATAAAAGGACAAACATATAGCAATAAACATCCAATCAAAGGTTACTACCTCCTCTACTCCTGAAGGATCGACTTCATCTGACACAACAATAGAAACAGAAGCAACTCCAATTAACAATAACAAATCCAAACAATAGTCAGACTTCTTTGCCAAACTTAAAGGAGGTAAAGCAGTATACACAAACTCCACTCCTAGACAAAGAATTCACTCCAAGAACAAAAATGCATTAGTAATTGACATACAAAGCCTCAACAACATTGCAACTAATGACATCATTGCTGTCCTAGCTATCAACCTTAAGAATGATTTTATAGCAGCCAAAACTCATATATCAAAAGGAAAACAAACCTCTTTAGAAATAATTCTTAAAGACCAAGAGAAAGTCCAGCTCTATGCAGCAAAGGATATTTTTCTCTTCAAACAAACATTCTTCAGATACATTCTAGTCAATTTCAATCGCTCTTTCTTCACAATAAAGCTTAAAAACACACCAATGAGAGACTCAAACCACATTAGCATATGCATTTTAGATGCTTTTTGAGATGTTGGATAAATCACATCTATCAAACTCCTACTTTATAAAGACACCAATGTCTATTCAGACCAATGGTTAGTTTCTTTCGAAACTATAAATAATCCAGATCTAACATTAAAAATTCCAAGAAGCACCCACATTGGTAATTACAAGATAATTACAAAATGGAAAGAAGCTCTAAAAATGTGCTTTTATTGCGAAAAAGAAGGACACATTAAAAAAGATTGTAAAGAACTAAAAGATTCTATCAAAACTAGGTGTATTTTGAGAGAAGCTAAAGCAAAAATGGACAAAGAAAAAACACAAAAAATTTCTATACCAGAAGTCAGATTTAGTTCTGATAACTTATATAATAATAATATGATCAAAGATATATAAAATATAACAGAAACAACTATATCCTCAAAACAAAACATAACCACAACTAAAAAAATACTGAGCAATATGGATCTTGACTCAACCACTTCCAGTTCTTCATTAAATACAACAACTTGTGTAGTTAAATTTGTATTACTGGTGACCAGTGTTTAAAATTTAATGTTCTCATGCTTTTTAAGAACATTTAGCAAATTTTATAAATATGAATTATTAAAAAACGTTCTCTATTTGAGAATATTTAACTATTTTTTTTAATATTGAAAATTTTTTAACTTACTAATACTGAGAACATTAAAAATTTTTTAAGAACATTAAGAATTCAAAAAATGTTTTTTTGAAAACATAAAATCAAATTTGAATTTTAAACACTGCCAGTAATTACAGAAAACTCTGTACAAAGTTTCTATGATTCTGAAGATACACCTTTTACCAGGAATATACATTTTGACTGTTCAAAGGCTTTTTTGGTACTGTCCAACATCTAAATATCTAAGTTTCCAAAAGTGTCCAATTATATTTAAACTAATAAAATTGTTTAAACTATATATAACTATAGAATTTTGCTAACCGTAACCGTGGTGATCATCACCGCGGTCACGTGTAGGTTATCTATGATGATTATCACCGCATCATATGCAGGTTATTTGGGCCCAGACAGTTGGTAACTGCATCTACGATTGTTTGTTACCTATACGGAGTAATATGTGGAATAATATTTAAGGGTAGTTCGCAGCTAAAGGGTAGAAATTTCATAGTAAAAATCGGCGGAATTACTTATAGAATTTTAATAGTAGTGGAATGGCCAAAGATTTTTATAGAGAGTACTATGTAAACTTCTTTTTTTACTAAGTAAGTCTCTCTTTGACTACTAATTAAAGTTGTAGAAGAAGTTCGTGCGGTTCTAATGGTAGTAATATTGCTAAATTTGGTCTGGTGAATCATGAGATATCAACGATTTATATTTCACGATCATATAAAATTTTCTTCGCAGATCTGCAAAGAAATTTCATATGATCACGAAATGTAACTCATTGATATCTCATGATTCACTAGACCAAATTTAGCGATCTTACTATCATTAGAACCACACAAACTTCCTCTACAACTTTAATTAGTAGTCAAAAAGAGACTTACTTAGTAAAAAAGAAGTTTATATAGTACTCTCTGTGAAAATCTTTGGCCATTCCTACTACTATTAAAATTCCATATGTAATGCCTGCCGATTTTTACTATGATGCTTATATGATGCTTATACTCTTCACCTCTTAAATGATTTATTCCGATATTTAGAATAAATGATGCAATCCGTATAAAACAATGATCAGTCTTCTTTTCACCTGAATTCAGAATTGGCTAACTTATAACCTCTTGTTAATGCTATACTTTATGAGCGGAAAAACAGTTAATTAAAAAACAGTACGGCATACGAACCTTCAAGTTAGAGTTCAGTGACCATAAGTAATGGAAGGTGAGTTATGTATAAAATTTATTTATCGATAATTAAGAGAAAAATTAACGGTACAAACTTTTAAACAACTTTTCTGGAAAACCCTAAAAATATCATATCGCTTACTGAGTTCGATGAGGAAGAACAGCTAGCTTCTATTTGGGCCGATATAATTAATGAAGACAATTATTTACTGATATTTCAATGATCATTAAGAAAGACAATATAAGCAACAACATAAATACCATTCAAGATGATGATTCCATATTTCTTGAGAATCGTCTAAATACCATTCAAGATAATCTTACTGTTGAGAAGGACTACATAGATACTATTCTAAATGATCCCATAACTGTTGTACAAGACTATCAAGATAACATTCAAAATGTCCAAGATAATTTCAATAACGAAATTACAATTAAGGTTGATGATTCTTTTCCTTCATGGGAAATGGCTAAATTGCATTTGAAAAGATATGCAAAATTAATGGGATTTTCTCTACGTCGTAAGCATTGTGAAACTGACAATACTGGAATTATACGTCGACAAACATTTAAATGCAGCTTTTCTGGTGAACCAACACCTAATAAAGTGATTGATCCAAGTCTTTAACATAATCGTTCATCTAAAAAATCTAAATGCCCATGGCATATAAATCTTAACATACAAAAGTCATTACTGGAAATAAAAGTAACAAGCATTGAAAATAAGCATAACCACACTATGATACCTGATACAGCCTTGTATAATCTCAGATACCGCAGATTATCAAACGATGTAATAGAAAAAATCGAATTCTATGTTACTAAGGGAAATATGAGCTCAAAGCAGATTTATAATTTGTTGGTTGCAAGTTTTCC